ATATTCTTTGTGGGTGTCGAATATTTACAGATCAATTTCATTCAATTTAAAAAACGTGGGAGGTTCGGAACTAAAGAACATCTTTCCTTCAGTACTGTGTTTATATAATTTTCGCAATATTTTCAGTATTCTTTTGATTTCAGCATATATTTAATGATGTTTCCTGCTGTTATTGATTCTCCTATTCTATTGTTTAAAAGTAGTCGCTTTTGATTCCATTTTGGACATTGGAACAGCAAATGTTCTACCGTTTCCACACTTTGCTCCACATGTCTCACAACATGATGTGTCCCCCAGATTAAACCTATGTAAGTATTGGTTAAGCTACCATGGTTTGTCAAAAATTGCGTCATATAGAAGCCCACATTTCCATGAGTTCTGTCGATCCGCTCCTTGATGTTTGAAATTAGATAGTATGTCCACCTTTCTTTTTCCTCATTTGACCATCTTTCTTGCCACTTTGTCATGGTATTGGATCTTGCGTTTTGTTTTATCTGTGTTTTCCTGAGTTCTAATTCTATAGGACTATAAAGTCTGCTTTCAAGTTGTTTTTGTTGGTTGTATGTATATCTCTTCTCTTTCTTGAGATATACATCCAACAAAAACAACTTGAAGGCAGTCTATCTTATCTATATCTATCTATCTATCTATCTATCTATCCTATCTACTATCTATCTATCTATCTATCTTCTAGCTATCTAGCACTAGCTATCTATCTATCTATTCTCTAGCTAGCGAGCTAGAGCGAACCTATCGACGAGCGATCGACCGAGCTCGACCTCGAGCGACCCTCGACTATCTATCGACAGCAGAGGAGAGAGAGAGAGAGAGAGAAGAGGAGAGAGAGAAGAATAAAGAGAGCGAGCGAGCAGGGATAGCAGGAGAGAGAGAGAATAAGAGAGAGAGAGAGAGAGAGATAGAGAGAGAGAGAGAGAGAGAGCCATCGATACTACTATCTATCTATCTATCTATCTAGCTATCTATTATATATCATTATCTATCTATCATCTAAATCTATCTATCTATCACTAATATCTACTATCTATCTATCTAGCATCTATCTATCTATATATCTATACTATCTATCTATCTATCTATCTATCATCTATCTATCTATATCTATCTATCTATCTATCTATCTATCTATCTATCTATCTATCTATCGATCTATCTAACGGATGAATTACCATGATAACCAACATTAGCTTTTGCTTTACAACCATTGAAGGTTGGTTTGAAATATATGAAGCTTTTAAGCTCGAAGCAGCATTTGGATGGGAGTTCAAATCGTCATCTTTCTATATGTCAAATATTGTGTAAATCAGTTGGATTTATAACTTGTTTATAAAAAATGACCGCAAGAAAAGGACCAACAGATTCGGAAACCTTGACATAAATCGAATCAGTTACTTTTTACAGGAGGTTACATCTACCTAAGATTTTGACAGCACTTTTTTGGGACGTCAAGACAGACGATCGCAACCAAAAAACTTAAAAAATTTATTTTTCCGATTTCAAGAATTGTGCAAATTAAAGAGATTTCCTCCTGTGGTAAAAAAAAAACTAATTACAGTTTGAAAAAATTAAAACAAAAAATCATTACCAATCCTTAAATCAGTTAACAGTTAACATACACACTCTTCAAAACAGGGGTTTTCCTAATAAAAGATAAAAAAAACAAACCACACAATCATAATTAAGCGTCATCAGATAAAAAATATTGGCCGCCACTTTGCTTACGAATATTTTTGAAAACATACATACTTAACTCAAACCAAAAAAAAAGACAACCAGAGGATTTCGGATTTATATGAGCCAAATTAAGCAAAGGTGGCGGCAAGCAATATTAACATGCAATTTGTTGTATTTAACGTTCGGAAAGGCAGGCAAATGAACGAATAACGTTAAAACAAATTCTTTATCGTATCGCATTGAAAATATGCTTGTGGCTATAAAATCAACAAAAAAAGGAAACAGTCAAAGTTTCCAGTCAAACAAACTAATAACTAAACAACTCCTAAAGCTCATGTGTGTGGATTTATACGATATTTGGGATTAAGATTGAAAACTTGTAAACAAATTTGAATGTTTGAATATATTTTATTAATATTTGTAGTAATTTAGGTTGGTTATGAATTTACGTTGTAGTTGTTGTTATTGTTGTTGTCCAAACCAACTGATCTTGCCAGTCAATTGTAATCGCATTAACTTCAAATAAAAATCTTGGCGCACGCGGCTAACAACAAACATTTAGTTAGCATTTTGGCGTATTTTAAACATTTTGCTTTTATTTTGTTGTTTTTATTAGCGCTTGCCAATCCCGTAGGAAGGAAAAGTTGTACAAAAAAAAAAACTTTGTTAGAGGTCAGTTAATCCCCATGTATGTATAGATGTAGATACTTACAAACTTATGTTCCAGGCATAGCAAGAGGTTGGTCCCTGGCGTCATATCAATGAGTATCGAACGCTCCAAAAAAATGATGGGCGTGTGACATTGCTGCCTCTATCTTTGAGCTTTGAGGATGTTTAAACAAATTATTATTGATAAGAATTTGTTTTTTTTTTTCTTCATTTATTCTCTTATTTTTTGTTTAGTTTGCTGAAGGTCTTCAAGCGACAAATATTACACTGAGAATAAATCAAGGATTCTTTAAACATTGAGGTTAAAATTCCTAAATGAAACTTTTGATAACACCCAACAATTTTTAGTTTAGTCTTTAGAGAACTACAGTTTAAATATTCGGGATTTAGTAAAAACAAGATAGAGTGCTATGCCGATTTTAAAACATCTTTTTCCTAGGAAGTGGACTTTATATGGGAGATATATCAATTATGAACCGTATGTATGTAATATATTGGTGTAGAATTTTATCCTGTGCCCCGTTTCTGTAATACTCGCATCGAGAAAATCTGTCGAAAAATTCATGATCATCTTGTGTAAAACAGGGTGAATACAAGAAATTTAAGAAGTTCTTATTAAATTTTAATAAGTACAGTTTAAAAATAATCTGAGTCACACTGTTAAAAACTGGAAGACTATTATATTTTAAGTTTTTTCTCGATTCGAGAAAATTACAGAAACGAGGTACTGATATCAGAGTTAAGGAATATGTAAGTTATTTACTATTAAGTAAATTTCAGAAAAGGGCTTTATCACTATTAGTTCAATAGTTATTTACTATAAAGTGATTTTCGGAAATGGACTATATATGGAAGCTATGATCAATTATGGGCTGATCCGTAGTAATTTGTTATAAAATTAATAATATTTCAATGTTTTTTTTTCAAAATTTCTTCTACATTCTTCCAGTGTAAACCAATAAATCTTATTGCAAAAGGTGCAGTCGGTTAAGGCTTATCAAAGATGAAGCTGGATGGCTGGCTGGTTTGGTTCTGCCTCTTGCTCTCCGTATTGTATCTCTGTGTATGAGTGTGTGTGTGTATGTGTGTCTGCATATAGGAACCACAAATAAAAAACAAACAAAAATCCAAAAAAGAATGAGTAGAGTTCATAGCACAAAGTCAGTCATCATACAAAGCTGTAGTGGATCCCTATTATGTAAGTTCTAAGACACATGATACTATGTCTGTTGATTGTATGAATGCATTTTTTCTTCGATTCTTTTTTTTTTTTTGTCGAAATTTTTGCAGTTGTTCTTGTTGATTTGTAAGATTGTTTTGGACATCTTCATGATTTGTTTCGTTTTTCGTACTGCGGTAGGTTGTTAATAAAAACAATTCTAAAATTTGTTTGTACAAATTGTTAGTTCGAGTTGTATATTAGCTAGTTGGATTGGGAGGGAGTATGTTTGGGTTTGATTTTATCCCAAAGGTGTTAGTTGTTGCAAGAATTCAAAAACCGTTATTAGTTTATTGAACAAAATAGTAAAGGTGGACATTATCTGATAAAAATTACAATTTCCTCTTTATGTAGATAGTACCAATCCTTTTTTTATAAATCATAGAAACATACATATACATACATACATGGAAATTTTAAATCAAAACATTTACATTAATTTAAACGAACAATTATTTTAAAATATTAAAATCGATTTAAAAAACGAAACTCGGCTTCCTTAAAGGGTTCTATAGTTTAAACAAAATGTCCACCTTCTGATTTTTTTCAATTTGCAAAAAGTCGAATTGTTTACTTTACGCATTTTTATACCCTACACCACTATAGAAGGTATTATGATTTTATACTGATATTTGCAAGAACCAAAAAAATTTTATGCCAGTCTGCATAGAATCACTTTCTGAGTCGATTAAGCCTTGTGTGCACATGTAGCACACAAGTTGTTTAAAATCAACTTACATACATATCGGCTTTTTAAATAAAACAGCAAACTTTTTTCGACAAAGTCGATTTACAGAACCCTACATTCTAACTTAACTATATAACGTTCAAAACATTCAAGGACACAGATTTCCAACAACTACATACAGACTAATCCTTTTTGTCTATCCTGAAGTATACTAAAACAAATGACAGATGTTTTTATAATGATTTTCTAGAACCAGCAACAACACATGTAAGAAAAAACGACATGCATTTTGTGTATGTTTAAAAAGGACAACAATGTCAAAATTTACCTGTTGTTTTTGTTGTTGTTTGTTTGCAACAACAACAAACACAAGTTATTTAAAAATGAAAGCAAATTTTCACACAAAATCATCTGGCAGCCTTTGAAGATAAAAACAAAATATGCTGCCACATCTATTTTAGAAATTTAACGCATCCAACAGGGCAACACAAAAACTTTAATTTTTTATTGATTACAAAAAATTTAAACAAAAAATAATTAATTATTAAAAATAACAACACTGTTTAACTACAAAGCAACTAAAACAACAATTTAACAAAGAGCTTTTACAAAAAAAAACATTTATTATAAAAATCTCTTCAATTATGTAAAACAAGCGATTTTTTTAACTCAAAATCAGGCAACTCTATTTATGCGAGTATACAACCCTGTAACGCGTTTCTTTTCTTCTTTTTGTAACACTGTAGTAGTTTGCAAAAAAAAGTAATTTCGTGTAGTCGCATTTTCTATACAACGCAAATATTAAAAGCCGCATTAAATTGCAATTACATTAAAAAAAGCAATAAATAAAGAAGAAATTTAAAAGAAATTCATTCCATTCGTAGTTTTTGTGAAAATATATTGTGTATATCGACAGTAAAAATGGATCTTGGCGGTCCACAAGTATTAACAAACATTTTATCGCCCGAAGAGTTGGAGCAGACACCACAAGGGGTGCAAGATAAATTGAAAAAATATTTGGATGAATTTTTCGATGAATATTGTAAAGATAAAGCAGCGGCCAATCGACTACGTAAGTAATATATTTATAGAAAATCTTAATATTTATAGTTAAGTTAAATAATCGTAAATTTATTACCGGTTAAAAGAAAAAATTGAGACAGCTTTGTTAACCTGTTTCATTTTTTCTTTCTTTCAATGGCGGCGTCTGTCAATCTTTTGTTTGGCAGCGCAGCATAGAAAAGAAGAAACAACAACAAAAAGTGAATTTTGTTTGGCAGAGAAAATGTTGTAGTCATTTTTATGACAAACTGAAATGTGCGCCAAAAGAAATGATAAAAACCACATAATATGGAGTAGGACATGTAATTATTTTCTGCTTATCTTTATTTTTATCAACTTTAGATGACTATGAGCTTAAAGCCGACGAGCTACAGGCTCAAATACAGGACTATGAATTAAAGTTACAAAACTACAACCAAAATGTTACCGAACTTCGTAGTCAATTGGACACGGTGTCCAATGAACGCAAACAACTATTGGAGACCACTAGTTCCTATGAGAGAGAATTGTCCACGTTGCGCAATGAAAAGAAGGCCATAGCAGACGATCGTGATCACTTGTTGAAAGTGATTGAAAGACAAAATAGCGAACTAGAACGCTTGCAACAGGATCTAAAAGCCTACCAACAACAGCTTAAGGCGGCCATTACTGCCAAATGTGAGGCATTAGCTCGCGTAGATGAAATCGAGAGTAAAGAGGTGGCTTTGGATTTCAAGGAACGCCGCATGGAACAGGAACGCGAAATGTTGCACAAACAGATACAAACTCTATCACAGGATCTTAATCGCAATATTTCAGAATTACAAAACATTAGACGAGAAAATACCATGAATACCATGCAATTGGAAGCACGTTTGACCGAGAAGACCGAAGAAGTGAAAATCATACAGGTGCAATGCAATCAGTACAAAGAAACTATTGAACGCTTAACACAAAATATCCAAGAACTGTCCACTAAAATGTTGGGTCAAAGTGAGGAAGCTCAGAAGATGATGGATTTCTATAAGAAAGAATTAGATGCCAAAACGAAGTTGTCCGATCTATACAAGAGCAATTGCGAGGACACTGATATTGAACGCAACGAATTGTCTGCCGCTCTATCCGATCTTAAGCGCATGTTAGCCGAAGCCAGTGACCAATATGGTGAGCTGGAGACCACATTTAAGGCCACCCAACTGAAACACGAACAAGATTTGGAAGAAAAGAACAAAGTTATTGAAGCGCTCAAAGATGAAGTTAAACATGCCAATGAATTGCTCAAGGAACTACAAGATGAAAGTGTAGAAAACGCCATATCAAAATTGGCACCTACCGCCGCAGTGGCTTCACGCTTGATACGTTCCGATATGTCTCTTACCGAACTCTACTCATTGTATGTTAAAGCCACGGAAGAATCAGAAATGCAGAAGCGTGAATTGGCTAGATTGAATCTTCAACTGAAAACTATTCTCAGCGAGCTTAATGAAAATGCTCCCATGGTCAAGAAGCAGGAATTAGAATATGAAAAACTCTTGGAAACTAATAATATTCTAGCCCATCAACGTGATGAATTATTGTCCAAGAAAACCGATATGGAAGAATTGTTAGTTGATGCCCATGCCAAATTGAACCACATGGAAAGAGAGAACAAAAAGCTCAAACATTCACAAACAGATCTCAGTCGCCAGGTCTGTTACTTGCTCAAAGAAATCGAACAATTGCGCATAGGTTTAACAACAGACGGCGCCAACTGTAGTTCTTCACAATGGGGTAATATCACCACCACCGACGATGTCATATCCAAGAAACTGGTAACATTTAACAACATCACAGAACTACAAGAAAACAATCAAAAACTTTTACTGCTCGTCAGAGATCTAAGTACAAAACTTGAAGAAGCTGAGGCTCTTAAGCAGGAATTGGACGAGGCTTCTTATCAAGAGAAACTAGAGAACTACGCCAGTAAATTCCAAAGCATGCAGGACACTTTGAATCAACAAAACAACACCGTAGCCACTTTAGTGTCCAAATGTGAACGTTACAAGAAATTGTACTTCGAATTGCAAAAGAAACTCAACAAACAATCCTCACCAGACGAACTAAGCGACATGGAAGATGATACTATGGGCGGTGAAGAAAATGAAACTCTGAATGTATCAGCCCAATCTCCGGCCGCTAAGAATGCAAAGTCGAAAGAATACGAAAAACGTATACGTGATTTGGAACAACAATTACAAGATGTTAGAGATAACTATAAGACCCTCAAGGAGCAGTATGAGTATTATTCACAGGAAAAGAAAAATAATGAAAAAATACTTAACGAACAGTTTGATTCAATGCGCACTGAGGTTAGAGAACTTACTTCTACTAATTGCAAGTTGGTGTCTACACTGGAATACACCAAAGAGCAAATCAAATTGCAACAGAAGAATATACAGACTTATAAGCAGCAGATACAGGCTTTAGAAGATCGCAATAAAAACTATGAAAATACCATTGTCAAACATGAACAATCTGTACTCTATCTTAAGGACGAAATCATGAAATCGCAGCGCAACCAATCTGCAGCCGAATCAGAGTCCAGTCGTTTAAGGCATGAAAATCGCATACTAAAGGACACTGTTGGACGTTTGCAATCTGAAAAGGAAGCATTTAATCGTGAGCAACAGAGCCAATCGTTACTGCTTAATAATTTAGAACTTATTAAATCCAATTTGGAGAGATCTGAAATGGAAGGCAAAGCCAGACTTGAGCAACGTTTGGATGAAACTGTGCGGGAATTGTCGGCTCAAAGAAGAAGATTCCAGGAGGAAGAAGATCGTTTCCGTGAAACCACCAATGATTTGAAGAGACAAGCTGATTCGGCCAAAAAACTAATGGAAGAGGAAAAGTCCCAAGCAGACAAGTTGCGTCTTGAACTAATCAGCATGCGAGAAGAACTACAAACCAAGGCTCTACAAATCGATGAACTCAGTAAGAAACTTCAAGAAAGTCTTACACCTTCTAAGAACGACAATCCTATTGTATTGGCAAACAAAAAAGCTCGAGAATTTGAAGTCAAATATGAGGAATCGAAAATTGAAATAGAATCCCTCACAGCAAATCTGGCCAAGGCAAAGGAGCATGCCGATCAATACTACAAGATGTCGCAAAGTGCTGAAACCGAAATTAAAAATCTGCATGAAGTTCACACTGAATATGTAGCAAAAACAGAGGCAGAATTGAAAGAACTGCGCACTTCCGAAATGAATCTTAAAAATCGAATTAACGAACTGGAAGCTGATTTACAATTGGCTACTGTTATAGAAGCACCCGTAACGAATAATGCCCCTGCTGAACAGATAAGAAAACTGCAAGATGAACTTAAAGATTCTCTACAAAAAGTAAGTGAATGCAATCGCAATTTACGCACTCTAAGAGCTGAAAATATTACACTGTCAGAAAACCTGAACAGTGTGGAATCTAAATATGCCAATGAAATGATATTACATTCGGCTGATATCCAAGAACTGGGTAAAGTTAAGCAAGAATTGGTGAAGGTAGGTTGTAACGACATAAACAAAAATATTGCAAATAATAAAATTTATTTTATTTTTAGATACAAAGCCAAATCAAAGAACTTACCATGGATAGAGATAGTGCCAAGTCTGCTTTGGAGGATGTCAAGCGTTCGCAAGAAGAAAACATTGCTCTATTACGCAAAGAAAAAGAAGAGTTCGAAAAACGCGTAGAAGATCTAAACTCTTTAAATGCCAATCTTCACGATCAAATCGAAGCTCTATCTTCTAAACTGACCGCCATTAGTCAGTCGGCACCAGCCGGAAATCTCAATGATTCTGCCATGGATACCTCAACTACCGATTTAAGCCGTTCCATGTTGGATGCAGAAGCTGAAAATAAAAATAACGAACAATTATTGCAAATCATAAAGTTCTTACGTAAAGAAAAAGATCTAACCGTGGCTAAAATGGACATATTAAAGGCTGAAAACACAAGACTCTCGTCAGAGTTCACCATCTTACAAAAGAAAAACGAAGAGTTGCAAGATTTCCTTAATCGTGAACGTTCCAAGACCGATACAAATCTTATTTCGGCCTCCAAACATGAGGAAATTTTACGTAAAATCGAAACCTTAAATGCTGTTACCGATAGCAATCGCGTTTTGCGTGAAGAACGCAATGCTCTTACTCAACGTGTTAAGGAGTTAAATGAACGCATTAGTGCTTTAGAGGATGAACTGTTCCCATTGCAAACACAAAATCGTGATCTTAACACCAAGATCGATGAACTTAACTCTGAAAATAGTTCATTGCGTACAGAGGCTATGAGATGGCGTCAAAGAGCAAATGTCTTAGTTGAAAAGAGTAACAAGAATCCCGAAGAATTCAAACGTTTACAGACAGAGCGTGAAAACTTGGCCAAAATGCTAACGGCCGAAAAAGAACAAATCAAATCGCTTAACGAAGAATTGCAGGGAGTTAAGGGTGAGAAGGCGCGCCTTGAAGCAGAATTAGCTTCATTGGAGAGACAGCTTCATGTAATGACCGAAGATAAGAAGAGTTTGAATGCCGATGTCGCCACTATGAAACAAACCAATTCCCGCCTCATGCAAGAGGTCATGGAGTTGAAGAACAAGCTGTTGGCTAAGGAAGAAGCCGTACAAAAGGTCACAGAAGACTTGGAGTCTAAAGAACAATTGCTGCAAGATTCTAAAAATAAGGAAGTTCAAATACGCAAAATCGCCAAACGCTACAAAGATTCTTATTTGGAGTTACTAAACAAAACTCCTGCTTCAGCAGCGGCAGGTGGAGATGCTGCCAACAATACTGCCGGTCAAGATGGCATAGAATTAGGCGGAGCCAATAATAATCCTGAAGCAGCCACAAAAGCCGAGTTGGAACAACAACGTAGCACAATTGAAAGTCTTAATGGCGTCATACGCACCATGCAAGAGGAAAACGAGAAAATACGCAAAGAACATGAAGATCTTAAGACTTCGATAGAAATCGATGAACGCACTAAAACTTTATTGCGTGAGGCTAAAACTCACATTGTTAGCTTGACCGAGTCACGTAATGTGGTCAGCAGTGAATTGGCCGCAACTAAAACTAAATTGCTTCAAAGTACCGAGGCACATGAGGCGGCCATTAATGAAATGAAATCACAGTACGAAGATACTTTGGCTCGTTTGGAGCGTGAGCTGATGGAGCAAAACAATCGCAATAAAGAAGATGTTCAACGTTTGACCAGAGAAAATGAGTCTCTTATAATGCGCATCAATCAGTTAAACCGCCAATTGGGTTTACAACAATCTGCCAAACCCTCCACTTCATCAGTGGCTTCAGAAAAGGGTTCAATATCTGATTCGTCGCCACGAACTGCGAATGTTAAACCCATGTCGGGTACAGCTTCAGTGCAGCAATCGGCCACTGTTACACCCTGGCGTGGCGGAGAAACACCTTTGGCCAGCATTAGACCTATATCAGTGCAAAATACACGTACAGCTGCCATTCTACCCACCAGTCAACAAAGTTCTTCGACTGGCAGTAATGTAGTGGCTGGAACATCGACATCCTCCACCTCTACTTCGTCGACTTCAACACCTTCAAGCACACCCTCTTCTGCAGCGGGCAGTAGCAATACTGCTTTAGTACCGCCACAACAACAGGTACATACCACTGGTAGTGCTTCTTTGGAAACCATGTCTTCATCTCCAACATCATCACACACCGACTACATGCCATCAACCAGCAGTTCAGCCTCTGTAGCAGTTGCCGCTGTTCCACCCATGGGTTCAGCTTCAGCCGCTGAAAGTTCTCAAGAAGCCGAAAGTATCCAGCAACCACAACAGAATGAGCCACAGGCCCATGTTAGTGGCGGTAGTGGCAATCAGGCACAAGTTGTTGCTCTCGTTTCGCCTAGAGTAGAAGGCTCTGCTCAGTCCGCTCCTTCGGTCAATGTACAGCTTATACAAGATCCCAATAATCCACAACCCAGTACTTCGGGATCCACTGGTTGTTCTTCGCATATTGCAGTCAGTAGTCACAATCGGCACACACCGTCCAGCAGCAATGTTACAACTACCCAAGCAGGTTCTTCGGCTGGACACAAACGTCCTAGGGAATTGGAGGGAGAATCGTCCACAACTGCCGATGATTCGGATAAATCATCATCAGCTAAACATCCCAAACGTATGAGAGCGCCAATGCACAGTGCAGAAGCCGCAGTAATGACAGCTGGTGTTTCCGACTCGGGTATTGATGTCGATCAAGTACCAACCTCATCTCAACGCGATCAAGAAGACGATGTTGTCGTTTTAGATTCTGAAGATGATGGCATGGCAGAAGCCGAGGCCGATGAGGGTGGTCCCACCGATGGCGATGGTGAACACGAAGTTTACGAAGACTACGATCAAGATCAAGATATGGACGAAAATGAATGTCCTGAAGTAAATGAGAGCAACTTACGCCACGAAGCTGGTGAAGCCGACAACAATGAAGTAGATGTCGATGAAGATTTAGAAAATCACGGACAATGCTCGTCAGCCGGAGCGGCTGGTCAAGCAGATAATGATCCTTATGCAACTGGTGCCAGTACAAGTGCTGCAGCAGCTGCTGCTATGGCCAAGGCTCATAGCCAACAGGACAATAATCAACAAAGTCAAGCCATCAGCAGTGGCAGTGGAGAATCGCCACAGAGAAAACAGGCTAATACATTGACCAGACAGCAAAAGGCTACACTTATGAAAATGCAACAGGGTGCAGATGTAACAGAGACTTCTGAAATGAGTGGAGCTCGCCGATCTGACAGGTTCGTTATAGACATGTAAGGTGGGGTGGTATGTTCGGCTGGGCCGAGATTTTCACAGATAAATTATTGAACAAATTCTAAATTTTTTTAAAATAATGTTCAAAAAAATTTAAAAAGTATTAAAAAAATAAAGCTAAATAAAAATGAATTATTTTTCGAAAACTAAATTTTGAAAAATGTTTAACAATTTTATTTTTCATCAGTACTGAAATCGTTAGTTCACCACAAGACTCTAAATTTACTTACGGCACCGATAGTGCTTCGTCTAATACTGCACAACAATCTGGTGAACATTCTGCCGAAGATGGACAAGAAAATCAAGGCACTAATGCTGATGAAGGTGGAGAAGCAGCCGCTGGCGGAGAATTTATGTCTGAAGATTATGAGCAAAAGAAAAATGCTGAAGCAACATCGGAAGATAATCAAAAGGACAACATTGAAGAAGCAGTAGAGGGCGATGATGATTTTAATGAAGAAGAAGCTGGTGATTCTGTAGAAGCTTCCGAAAATATTGACAGTGAGAGTAAGTAACGAAGAACAATATGTAAATAGAATATATTCCATAATACAAACACTTTTTTATTGTACATAGGCCATCACAGTAGTGGAGCTACACAATCTGAAATTCAAGATATACAACAAAATCAAATTGAAGCCACTTCAGAAGACAATGAGGGTGCCGATGGCGTTTCTTCAGAGGGAGAAAAACAAGCTGTCGAAGAAGTTGAGGTAAGGTTTTAATCATCAAATAAAAATTTTAGAAAAACATACTAACTTTTATGATTTAATTTAGGAGGAGGGCCGTGAAGCAGAAGCTTCTACCTCACCGTCTATAAATACCCGATCTAAGGCAACAAAAGGCACACCCTCAAATAGAAGACAGAATAGAGGTGGTTTTCAACGTGGCGGTAGTCGTCCCACTCCCATAGTATGGCAAGGTGAGTACTTTAGATGGTAAATCCAAAAGCTATTTTACTAAATAGTATTTTTCTACATTTACTAGATTCCCCAGGCAATTCACGTAATGCTGCCAACAACCAACCGGGCAGCCCTGGACGTGGTGCTTTTGGTAATCAGAGAGGCCAACGCGCTAGACGCATGCGACGACCAGGCGGTGGCAATTTTTCCAATAGAATTTAATTTTAATAAAACTTAATTTAAACATCGGTTCTTTACTTTTTTTCTACAATCAATCATCAAATATTTTTTTGTAAATTGTTTGAAGTGATTTTTCTCTAGTTTTGTAATTATTTGTAAGCGTCCCCCACAAAACATTCATAAATTACTTGGCCCTCCCCTTTTTTTGGTTTCCTATTATTTTCCTTTTTGGACTTAAAAATATTTCTTCATAGATCCTTTAACATTTGCATTGATATAATCGATCGCTTGTTTTTGACACATATTTTAGAATTCACTTTTTTTGTCATACGTATACGTATCCATATTGAATACATACTTAAACTGAACTACATTATATAACATAACCGTCATTTAAGATTCATATTTTTTTCTTTTTTTTAATTATAGAATATAATTAGTTTTAACTCTTCATATATTATAAACTATATAATTAATAATAGAAATACAACATATTCATCTAAAAATACATAAAATATTTCCAAAACATAATAAATTTGATTTTTTTATTTTCTATGGATAACTGGGTGATTTGTGGGAATAACTTTGGATTGTAAATCTGATTCTAAACTTTTTTACCAACTTATCTATAAACTTTGCTCTTTTTCTAGACTCTAGGTACAAAGTATTTGAGAAAGTCCATGTTTAAATTCATGTTTCTAGGTTCAATATTAAAAACTACCAGTTAAAGAATGAAAAAAAAATACCATTAACATATAGATTCTCATTTAATCAGGTCTCTGCATGTTATATTTTATGGTTCAAAGTTCAATATTATAGGAAATACAAAAAGAACCATCTGAAGAACGAAAAATTATCAGAAAATACCTTTTAATAATTAAAAAAGTACCAAAAAGTATGACTTTATAGATTCTTATTTAGTCCAGACTTTAAATATTTAACTTCATGTTTCTAACATTCAACGTTATAGAAAGTTCAAAAAGTAGCAGTTAAGGATCGATAAATATGTACTCATTTATAGATATTCATTTTATTAGCACTCTGCACGATTTAAAGTTTATTAATAGACTTTAATGCACTTGGGACCATAGATATGTAATCTTAGGTTTCTTGGTTCAATATTATAGAAAACTCGAAAAGTGCTAGTTGAACGAGAATGTACCGATAACTATTCCTTAATACCAGAATTCCAAAAATTTTTCATTGAGTTTGAAATAAATCAAATTTCTCGTTTTACTCCCTTTTGGTACTTTTTTCTCCTATAATGATCAAAAAAGTTGCAATATCGTTGTGAGAGCCCTCCATTAAAAAATGGAAAAGTACCAAATATAGTTACAATTTAAAGGTCCTAATATTCAAAAAGTTATTAATTTGTAATTTTCCGTACCGTTATGCATAATTTCAAAAACTTAAGCTTTAAAAAATAGTACCAAAATACAGTTTTTACTCCCAAAAGGGGCCGAATTAAAAAAAAAAAGACCATACACCTGTCCGCTTATTTATTTAAATGAACAATGAAACGTATTACATTGTATATTTTTTTAGTTTAGGATAACTTTTCAATAAATTACAGGATTACAAACCTGTCACAGAATTCCATTGCGATCGAAAGAGGAATTATTTTTCCAAATTCTTTAAAAAAAGTAGAATTGAAATTTGTTTTACTTTAATCAATTTATTTACTATGGTCATATGTTACATGCCTGATAAAACCGTTATAATTGCTTTACAGAGTAACTCCTCACCTAACAAGAGTTTAATAATTACAAACTACTTAAACTCATCTAACACTCAACACCTCTTACTCTACTCCACTCATTTCAAAATGAAACAAAATTTAAATTAACATTTTTTTGATTTTTTAAGTGTTTTTTGTTGTATTTGTTTAAAGATTAAAGAATGTGTAAAAACAAATTAAAAACTTTGTTTTCCTTATAAATGGGTTTTAAAACTAAAACACAAACATCTTATGATCTTGGACGTTCCTTCTTTTCCTTGTACAAGGCCAACAAGGAAACGTTAGCGACCTTGACAACCTTGAAACGTACACCGGGAATATCACCGACGGCGTGACCTTTACGACCGAAACCGGCAACCAAAACTTCATCGTTTTCTTCAATGTAGTTCAAGCTACCATCACGAGGTACGAAAGCGGTGATCTTCTTACCGTTCTTGATCAATTGGACTCTCACGCACTTACGGATAGCAGAGTTAGGCTGTTTGGCTTCAACACCACTGGAATAGAAGGAGAAGAAAATATTATTACAATATTTCATATCAAATCGGAATAAAATATATTTAATTAATTCTTTAGATCGATCATTGGAGATTTGTACTCCCTCCTTCCTCCACTTTGAAGAATTGTGCTGCTTGTTAACTCACAGTATACTCCTGTGATATGATTTGAAATCAAAATAAACAAAAACACAAAAATATACTGCGAGTCAAATCAAGAGCTTAGGCCGGCTTTTAGAATTTCACACACACACACACTCAAACACTTGTAAACATTTTCATCACGAGATACTTACACTTTTTCAAGTACAATACCCTTGGCATGGGAAGCACCACCGAAAGGATTGGCCTTCCATCTTGTACCCAAATGAGCCTTTTTGTAGTCTTTGTCAGCCCAACGTTGATCACGACGGTGGTTGACGTGCTTTCTGGCAGTGCGGAGACCTCTTGGTTTACCTATAAATAAACAAAAACAACAAACAGTTGAAAAAACATGTCAACAAAAAATCAAAGTAACAACAAATACACAGAAAAATTACTAAGCATCTTGCACTATAAAATGTGTACGATTTTCATCCTCCTTCATTCAACATTTCCAAGCTTTTGCACTCTACTTGCACTTAATAATTTCAAAATACACAATATTTACAACATACAAAAGCATTTTTAACATAATTTTCACAATATTATCACTGATGTCGTAGATATTTGAGGTTTTTCATTTAACACATTTTACTCACGAATCTCAGAATGCGGCCTTTTTCATTCCATACGAGACACACACATTACATACATTCACAGACACCGACTTCGTACGCGAAGAGTCAAGTTTTCAGTAGACATTTTCTACAGGGATTTTCCGACAAATTTCTTTAATTATATTTAATTCACTTAGTTTGGACACTGTTTACAACATTTTCACTTATTATTTGATGCATTTTTGTAATTTTCCCGTAAAAATTAAATAATTTTCGTAACTCACCCATAATTTCCAAACTTTCTCAAGCAATGGCGGAAATAAAAGAACGAGATAGAGCCAGCATTATAACCATCTCTGTCTGCAGCGTTGTATAAAAAACAGAAATTTTACAACTGTGCAATATAGGGTTGTATTTTGCGGTGGGAAATTTATGTAAAGGGAAAATTTTATTCGACGAATGTTGCCAGATTATGTGTAAAAAGTTGTGTTTATTGTGAATAGCATTTGTTAATGATGTATTAACAATTTTTTATATTAAAAGTATGAAATTTTGTTAATTTAAAATGATTGATAACACAGTGAGACAAAATAAACGAAAACAGAAATACCTGTAAAGTAATACTATTTTTCAGAAAGATAGATCCGAGCAGAACAAGAGTCTGTATTTAAAATTTGCCAAACTCCTGTAAAATATTAAGATACGGGGAAAACCCTGGTATTCGTACTTTCAAGCATTTATAAATCAGTTACATAGTTGAATCTCAACCGATTTTAAGTTTCACAAGGGATTTAGAAAGTAGAAGCTGAGGCCTTTATAATGCCATATATGTAGTTTAAATAATCTAGAGAAATATATGAATATATAGGAACCGTACTATTTATTAATGTATTGGAAAACTATGTCTAAATCGATTAACAATTGACTAAGTTATTGCTCTTTTTCTTAATACAAAATTGTTTAGAGGCTGATTTTCTGAAAGATACTTTATATGGTGGATAGGGTTAAATATGGGTCTATCCTCATAACATTTGGTGCAAGGATTTATGTTTATATAAAAGTTATTTATACTGAATTTCATCGTTTATTCGGCTGTCCCGAATCTTATAAATAAAAAGTACCAGAAAGTCAACAAAAAAAAGTACCAAAAGTCTGATGAATGTCTGATTTTATGATTCCAGATTCAATAATTCAGAAAATCAGAAAAGTATAACGAAAATAACGAAAAAGTACCAGAAAGATCATTTTTATAGATGTTTCAAAGTTTAATATTAAAAAAAAGATTAAAAAAGTTTAGTCTTGTAAATTTTCATTCCATCAGGATTCTATATGTATGATTTTTTGTTTATATGTTTAAAAATTCAGAAAATCAAAAAAGCATTTTCTGTATGAAGAAGCTTCCCTTTTATAAAGTTTTATTCAATCAATATAGGGCGTGTTTAATTTTGCGTTTAATATTATAAAAGATTTAAAAACGTACCAGTTGAAGAACAAAAGGTACTAAAAAAAAACTCTTATAGATTTTTATTCCATTAGGATCTTATATGTCTGATTATATGTTTCTAGGTTCAATATTTCAGAAAAACAAAAAAGTACTAGTTGAAGAACGAAAAAGTACCAAAAATCCTTTTCTACAGATTTTCATTCACTCAGAACTCTGAATGTTTAATTTGATGTTTCTAGGTTCAATATTATAGTAAATTCAAAAAGTACTTTTTAAAAACGAAAAAGTATCAAAAAGTACACTCTTAAAGGTTTTCATATATTATAGAAAACTTAAAAAGTTGTTTTCCCATCCTTGCTTAATTTCAGAGGTTATCTCTGATTTTTGCTCATATTACCTTTATCTATGGACTAATTTTGGTGATTTTTATATAGTGACCTTTTCGAGAACATGTCTGATAGAATTATTAAAGATTTGGATCTCACAGATATCTGGAGTCTTCTGAAAAGTAAACAAAAAAATCATAAATATGGCATCCCAATTCCTAACCCCTTAATATACACTGTGAAAAAAGCTATTGGTTCTTTTTATTTCTTAGTTTTTATACTTTTGATAAGATTTAAGTTAAAATCTTTGAAGAGCCTTGTGTTGGCTTCTTATAAAATCATATGAGTAAAAACAACAACAATTATT